CGGGCTGGGTGCAGGAACTCGACGACGTGCTGCTCGCCGCACTCGAAAACGTCCTCGCCGAGCCCCTGGACGACGTGCGGCGCCTGCGAGCCACGCTGCGCCTCTCCGACGGAGGGTGCGCTTTCCCTTCCGCCCCGGCCGCGTACGCCTCCAGCTGGGCCCTCTGCCTGCACGACGTGGCCACCTGCCTGGGGGTCAGCACCCTGGAAGAGCTTCACGCCCGCCGCCCGCGCACCCTCCAAACCTTCGCCCAAGCAGAGCAGGCGCTCCGGGGCGCTGGCGCGCTCGGAAAAAGAACCGCTAGACCTGCTGGACTACATGCGGGAACCGCAGCACAAGCAGCAGGGGCACTGGGGGAAAACCGCCTCAAAGGCCAGCAATAAACGTCTCCTGGACACGCTGCTTGACGAGGACGGCCGCCTCTCGCTACGCTCGGCCAGAGGAACGGGGGCGGGGTCCTTCCTGCTGCCCCGACACGCCGGCAACGCCGCGCAACCAGACAAACACTTCCTCACGAACCTGAAGATGCGGCTGGACATGCCCGTCTGCCCTGAGGGGGCCCTGTGCCAGCACAAGAACAAGACCACTGGGCAACTCTGCATCAAGCCGCTCGACCGGAAAGGGTGTCACGCCAGAAAGTGCGAAGTGGGGGAGTCTCGGAACGACCGACACAACCGGTTGCGGGACTGGCACTCCAAGCGACACTCAGCGCTTACCGGATACGCTGCCCCCACCGAGCAACGCGTGCCCAGGTGGGATCGTCGCCTCCCCAAATGGCCGCCTCGAAGAGGCCAAGCTCGACGTGGCCACCGTCGACCACAACACCGGGCGCCACATCTTTGTGGATTGAGCCGTGATCTGCGCACACTCAACCTATGCCCCGCGCAGGCAGGCCCGGTCCCACAGGAGTGGCCTGGCAGCGGCCCAAGAGGCCGACAGCAAAAAGGATCGGTACCCCCCGCGGCAAAACCTCGAGCTGGTCCCAATAGTCTTCGAAGCCGGGCGGCGGCCTGTACCCCCCCTGCCGAAACGAAGAACACAAAGCACAGGCGGAATCCGGCAAAACAGCGCTCAGGCCCAGACCTGTCCTGTGATGCGCGATCACGCCCGTGACCCGCCCCGCCCCGCCCGGCCCCTGGTCACGCCACGACTCGTGCCTGCGCCGAGTGGGAACCAGAGGTTCCTCTGCATTCCCAGGAACCCCCTCTTCCCCTCCCCCCCCCAGTCACGCCCGTCATCGCTGGGGGATAGCAGGACGGCCTCGAGGGAGGGAGGAGGAAGAGAGGAGGGAGGGAGGAGGGAGGAGAGGAGAAAGAAGAGGAAGAGGAAGGAGGGAAGACCCTGCGACCCGGGCGTTGTGACTGGTTGTGCACTGGGCGGTTCCGTCCAATCTCGGGCCCCTGGGCAATCACAGATCGATCCGGCTCGAGAATGCCAGACCCCCGACGTCATGCTTTTGTCATGACGTCGACCCCCGAAGAACTGGACACCTTCCCCGTGACCGTTTTCGCATCCCGAATCGTTTTTTGACGGTCCCGCGGCCCGGTAAGGGCTCCCAGACGCCGAAACCAGCGAAAAACCTCCTATCCTGATTTTTGCCACGACTCGAGGGGGCCTGGGAAGGAAACGGAAACATAGGGTCCAAAGCTCTGGCGGCATTATTTCGCGACGTTGCGTGTTTTCGCAACGTCGGATCCCAAGGGAGGACGGAGGAGGGGAGTGGAGGAACCCCGGGCGGGGGATGTTGGAACCCTTTTTCCGAGGAGCGCGACTCTTCATTACCGGCGATGATGGGCATTATTCGGGGGCGCGCAAACATTGATTAGCGATCCATGGATTAGGCAAGCGGTCGCCAAATCCATAGATCGGGGGAGGTGCCCTCCCCGAAATGCGGCCGGTGTCGCCTCGTTTGGCGGCTGAAATCCACGATTTCCAATGGAAACGGGACCAGTGGTTAATCCACCCCTCTTTAACCCATGTTTGCGATCGCCTGAATTACAGGGGGGGGGCCAGGAGGGAGGCATAATGTAACGCCTTCCCCCCGCCGTACGCACGGCGGCAATGCCCGGAGCGCACTGGGGAGAGGAAGCGGCGTTACGTTCTAGGGGGGACTGCATCAGAGGCGGATGAATCCAGGGCCATTGCAAGGTGGCTACACAACATGAGGCGTACGTTGGGCATTGGTTCACTATGGCAAATGGCCGTGCAAACATGATATAACAAAGTGAGGGGCTGTATCACAAGTACTTTCACGACGTGTGGCGTTTGGCTGTATGAGGACTGGGCCGACGGCGCCGTGAAGCACAGCCAGCTTCTTGAAAGAAACACAAGTAAAACGACAAGACAACTGAATGCTACAACTGAATGCAACGCGACGGTGCCGAACGCGTCAACAGCGAAGGTGTGCCCTGGGTGCTTGTGCTAACTCTGATCGAACCGAAGTACAGCAGGTTGGTGTCGTGTCGACCCCAGAGTTGGTTCCTGAGACCGCGGGGATCGTGAAAAACCTTGAACGATGGCCGTTTCCGCAACGTGAGATCGCTCGACAACGACCGATTCTGGGTCGCTGGCGGCGTTCAACGTTGAACGCCCGCGGCGGGGTCACCACCAGTCGACCCGACGCGAACCTGCCGTACCCAGCCCCCCAAAACCCCAACGTCATGACTATTTCGTGAGGTCGACCCCCAGGGATCACGACCCATTCCCAGGGACCGGTTCTACAGCCCGAATCGTTTTTGACGGTCCCGAGGCCAAGTGAGGGCCCCGAGGCCGAAAATAGCGAAAAACCTCCCGTCGTGATCTCTTCACGACTCTGGACGCCCGAAATGGGTACGGAAAAAATTGGCACAATGCCGAACAACAAATGTTGTCCCAAACCAACAGCGGCCGCTGTTGGGCTGGCGGCCTTCTGTCTCGAATGGGCACAGGCCGCGGCAGCGT